ATCATCAGGCATTAGATTCTCATAAGGAGCATGCAGCCTTGATCCCTTGCATGTGCAGTTCACAATAGGGCTAGCGTTCCTATGAGAATCTAATGCCAGCATTGATCTGACAGGAGGCGGAGCTCAGGCAGTAATGTGAGAGAAGGGGAGTGGCTATAAATACAGATGAAGCTTCTTTTGCTCACCTCCTCCTATGTGGCACCGTTCCTAAAAGGTCACAGACTGGACCACAGACCACTATAGGTCTGTGGCCCAGGGTTTGAGGACCCCTGCTCTAACCCACTGAACAGACATGGATGCATGTTGCTCCCAGTGTCACTGAAACTGCATTTGCAAAAATGATGAAAGTCTTAAGAAATCTGACATAGCTATTTCCATCTTGCTTCTAACTTCACAAGCTGCGGGTTCATTCCTGGGCATAGGCCAAGCTAACTATGAGAGGAATTTATAGTTTAACTATAAGGCAAGGACAATTATAGGTCCTTCCTTCCCAGAACTAATCCCCCACTTGTTCAGGAACCAAAAACCACCCCTGACAAACAATGAGAGGTCACAAGGTTAGGATTATGGGAGGGGCTTGAATTGCTAAGAAGTAGGTGTAGCTAAGTGATAACCAGCCACCGTCCCCAGCATTTTTTTTTTTTTTTTTTTTTTTTGAGACGGAGTTTCGCTCTTGTTACCCAGGCTGGAGTGCAATGGCGCGATCTCGGCTCACCGCAACCTCCGCCTCCTGGGTTCAGGCAATTCTCCTGCCTCAGCCTCCTGAGTAGCTGGGACTACAGGCACGCGCCACCGTGCCCAGCTAATTTTTTTGTAGTTTTAGTAGAGACGGGGTTTCACCATGTTGACCAGGATGGTCTTGATCTCTTGACATTGTGATCCACCCGCCTCGGCCTCCCAAAGTGCTGGGATTACAGGCTTGAGCCACCGCGCCCGGCCTTTTTTTTTTTTTTTTTTTGAGATAAGGAATCTTGCTCTGTCACCCAGGTTAGAGTACAGTGGCATGATCTCAGCCTGCTGCAACCTCCATCTCCCACATTCAAGCGATTCTCCTACCTCAGCCTCCCAAGTAGCTGGGATTACAGGTGTGACTCACCGCGCTCAAATTTTTTTTTTTTTAACTGTACCTTTTCTATGTTTAGGTACACAAATACTTGTCAGTGCATTGCAATTGCCTACAGTATTTTGTACAGTATCATGCTGCACAGGTTTCTAGCCTAGAAGCAATAGGCTATACCATATAGCCTAAGTGTGTAGTAGTCTTGTGTTAGTTTGTTTTCACATTGCTATAAAGAAATACCCAAGACTGGGTAATTTATAAAGAAAAGAGTTTAATATACTTATAGTTCTGCATGACTGGAGAGGCCTCAGGAAACTAATAATCATGGCAGAAGGGGAAGCAGGCACATCTTACATGGTGGCAGAAGAGAGAACACAGGGGAAATGCCAGACATTTATAAAAAAACCAGATATCGTGAGAACTCCCTCACTATCATGAGAACAGCATGGAGGAAACCATACCCATGATCCAATCACCTCCCACCAGGCCTCTCCCTTGACATGTGGGGATTAGAATTCAAGATGAGATTTGAATGGAGACACAAAGCCAAACCATGTGGAGGCTATACCATCCAGGATTGTGTAAGTACACTCTACAGTGTTCACAACAACAAAATTAGCTAACATCACATCTGTCAGAATATATCCCTATTGTTAAGTGATGTATGGCTGGACTGTGGTTTTGCCTATATGGTACATATATAACTATGATATAGTTTAATTTATAAGGCACAGTAAAAGACTAACAATAAAGGCCGGGTGCGGTGGCTCACGCCTGTAATCCCAGCACTTTGGGAGGCCGAGGCGGGTGGATCACGAGGTCAAGAGATCGAGACCATCCTGGTCAACATGGTGAAACCCCGTCTCTACTAAAAATACAAAAAATTAGCTGGGCATGGTGGCGTGTGCCTGTAATCCCAGCTACTCAGGAGGCTGAGACAGGAGAATTGCCTGAACCCGGGAGGCGGAGGTTGCAGTGAGCTGAGATCACACCATTGCACTCCAGCCTGGGTAACAAGAGCGAAACTCCGTCTCAAAAAAAAAAAAAAAAAAAAAAAAGACTAACAATAATCATGAAGTAGAACAGTTATAACAATATATTGTAATAAAAGTTATGTGAATATGGTCTTTCTCTTCAAAATATTGTAGTATTTTCTGACTACAGTTGACTGCAGGTAACCGAAACTGGAAAGCAAACTGTGGATAAGGAGGGACTACTGTATGTTATCTGCTGTGTTGTTGGAAGGAGAACTCTAAAGCATTTGTTTTTAATAGTTATACCTCTTACCAGCCACTATCCATCCTAAGTGATAAGATGAAGGTGGGGGAGTAGATATAATGGAAATGAATATGAAACAAAGCAGCTTGCAGAATGTTATTGTTCTTTTCAACTAACTCTCTTAGGTACCTCAAGTAAATTGTAAGTATCATGAATCCCTTGAATACATATATAACACAAAATTTATAGTATCTGCTTTACTACAGGAAGGTGCTAACTACTCATTTTTGTGGTTGTTCTTTTTTTTTTTTTTGAGACGGAGTTTCACTCATGTTACCCAGGCTGGAGTGCAATGGCGCGATCTCGGCTCACCGCAACCTCCGCCTCCTGGGTTCAGGCAATTCTCCTGCCTCAGCCTCCTGAGTAGCTGGGATTACAGGCATGCACCACCATGCCCAGCTAATTTTTTGTAGTTTTTTAGTAGAGACGGGGTTTCACCATGTTGACCAGGATGGTCTCGATCTCTTGACCTCGTGATCCACCCGCCTCCGCCTCCCAAAGTGCTGGGATTACAGGCTTGAGCCACCGCGCCCGGCCCCCGTGGTTGTTCTTTCCGTCTCTTCATCTACCCATTACTGTCAATAACAACTCTTTATCCACAGTTTCCTTAGTTTAAAAAAAAACTTGCTGATTTCTATTCTTCTTCTCATGAAAATAAATTTAAAATGGCTTCAATCCATTCACTTGGCTGACTTAATTGGCACATCTATATGATCTGCAGTATTAGCACATGAAACCTCATCAGTCAACTCCTTTATGAACAGAGACTAGTAACTTCTGATGATAGAACAGTTACCCACTTAAGGACAATATTGTCCTTAGAGGGGTATGCGGGCAATATCAGGACCTGGCTTCATAAGGATATGCTGAATTTTCAACGTGTTGCTAAGGTTGGTCTTTAAAAACTTTCAATAGTTTGCCAAATGAGCCTACTTAAGGAATACACCCAAAATGCTCACTATCTTTGTTCCCTCCAAAAAGCACAAAAGGTCTTGAGTAAGTGTGGTGATTTTGGTTCTGTTTTATAGGAAGACTGTGGTTGTAGTGTGTGAAATTAGAGGGGAACTGCCTGTCAGGATACGGTTCAAAAACAATAAAAATACTCCAGTCATACAGGAAGATGGAGGATTGGAGCAGAAATAATAAGACCAGTGGTTTGGAAGTGATCTAAGATAAAGGTTTCCTTGTATCTATTACTTAAGTTGCAGGATGGGAAAAAGGATCGCAGGATGTAAGCTCCACCAGAAAGAGTCCTCACTGATTTATAATACTTCAGGTACCTAGAAAAATGCTTGGCACATAACATGCATAATAAACCCTTTTTATTTTTTTTGAGACAGAGTCTCACTCTGTCGCCCAGGCTGGAGTGCAGTGGCACGATCTCAACTCACTGAAATCTCTTCCTGTCGGGTTCAAGCGATTCTCCCGTCTCAGCCTCAGCCTCGCGAATAGCTGGGATTATAGGCGCGTGCCACCATGCCCAGCTAATTTTTGTATTTTTAGTAGAGACGAGGTTTCGTCATATTGCCAGGCTGGTCTCAAACTCCTGATCTCAGGTGATTCGCCCGCCTCGGCCTCCCAGAGTCCTGGGATTACAGGTGTGAACCACCTTGTCCGGACAATGAACACGTGACTGAATACGGCGGTGCCAGATAGAATACAAGGCGGGGGATTAGGGGGAACAGAATACAAGGATGAAAATTAATCAGAACATGGGGCCAGAATTTGAGGGGTAAGGGAGTCAAAAAGAAAACCAGTGACAGAACTGAGCATGTCAGGAAGGGGATCTAGTTTTAAATAATAACTAAAAGCTGTGGTATTAACACCTTTATTTCTAATAAGACCACAGGCATAAGCTTACTTGAACATGACATTTACCTAGGTCAGAAAGGATACAAATCCTCTAGATTTCCAAGAATTCTCTAATCATCTAAACACGTTTCTTATTAGATGGTGCCAACACACCCGTGTTCTTTCTGCACACGAACGTGAGGTGGAGGAGGGCGTTGGTAGAAAAGTCGCCGACAGGTAAGGGGCCAGAGATATAATTGTCTCTGCCGCAAATGCAGCACCTTCCCCGTTCTTGGGGCGTCCAAGCGGAGAGCTAGATGATGATTGAAAGTAACACAGTAGAGGCGAACTAGAATAAGGTCACGAGCAAGTGCCCAACTCGTGTAACTCCTGGTTCCAGGCTGTGCCTCTGGGGATGCTGTTGGCGCCAGCCGTGGTAGTATGACAGAGTCTGGGTAAAGGTCGTCTGCTGACGAGATGGTAGCTAGGAGACCTCTAGGTGAGCCAGAATTAGGGCGTCTTCTCCTGGACGTGCGGAACGCCCTGTCCAAAGCTCATTACATCACCAGGCCTGTTACTCTAGCAGAGTAACGCACCAAACCACCACCGACTCCGCCCCACCCTCCCCGCCCCTTTAGCACACGCAAGCGCACAAAGGCCTGCGAGTGACGTCACCCCTCCCGGCACCACTGCAACGTCGTAAGACCAAAGGCCTGTCGTAACGGCCCGGCAAGAGAGGCCTCTAGAGGAAGGGCACGCACGCCGCACATCCTACCCTGCTCGCTGGTATGCGCGCGCAGATCCTTGGCGCAGGCATTGGGACTGGAGCCAATGAAGCGCGGCGACGTCACTTCGTAGCCGCCAGCTCGGCTGTACGTCAGGGCACGGGAGGGCGGAGCGAGTTTGGTTGCACCTACACTGGTACTTAGGCGCGGACCGGCGTGTCCTTGGACTTAGAGAGCGGGACGTCCGGCTTCTGAGCGGTAACCTTTGTTGAGCTAACGACGAAAAAGGTGAGAGCGGGTTGCGGAAGCTGCATCTGGTTAGAGGCAGGGCTGTGGGGGGCACGCATTCGCGAGCGACCGAGACCCACGCGAGGAGCCTTCGAGGGGATCTCGCGCGGGGTGGGAAGGCCGGGAGTGAGGACCCTGGACTGTGGTCAGACGAGAGCCGGGCGATTAACGGCTTGAGGTGGAGCGGAGGCCTAACTAAGGACAGGTATGGTCCCGGTCAGTTGCTGGAGATGCCAAGACGCGCCCTCTTTGGTCGTGGTTGTTGAAGGGCTACGGAAATGAGAGGCCAGACTTCCCTCCCTTAAAGCCGAAGCGTAGCGTTTCATGTTCTGTTTCAGAGGGCAAAAACTGTTGCTCCTCGTTTCTTTTCGTGGGATCATGTTTCTTTTGTCAATCGTTTTGGCATCCTAGAAACGTGGGTTTCGTCAGTCACCTTGAAACCGACCTGGATGGGTGACCTCGTGGTCACGTCGGGGGGAATCACCGGTAGGAGAGTTGGGATGTCTTGGGAACACCGTGCAGCCTACGCCTGCGCTCCAGTTCACGAGTTTGAGTGTCAAGCTACTCTTGTCACCTGGACTGGTAGAAACAATCAGGACCGTTTATTTTATTATTTTTATTTTTATTTTTTTGAAGACGGAGTCTCGCTCCATCACCCAGGTTGGAGTGCAGTGGCACGATCTCAGCTCACTGCAACTTCCGCCTCCCGGGTTCAACCAATTCTGCCTCAACCTCCCGGGTAGCTGGGACTACAGGTGTCCACCACCACGCTCGGCATTTTTTTTTTTTTTTTTTGGATATGGAGTTTTGCTCTTGTTACCCAGCCTAGAGTGCAATGGCGCGATCTCGCCGGGCCCCAGGACCGCTTTTTAAACATTTGTGCTTTGCATTATCCTCAGGGAGAGGTGGCTTTACATTGTAGTACGATTAAATGATTAGGCCTTCTTAAAAGTTGCAGTTGTGGTGATTTTGACTTAATGTTCGCTGTTCAGCTTCGTATCTGTGACTGTTTGTGACCAGGACCTTATCTTCTGAAACTGAAGTTTGAATTACGTTCCCACTTTGCTTGCTTGGGTTTTAACCTTCCTTCACGTATACACACAAAAATAGGTTTTTAAGGAGTTGCTCCTAAAAAATGTTTTTGGTATGAAAGAGTATTTGGTATAAAGAGTATTAAAGCAAAAGAAGATTCATCTTGGTATTTAATGACATAAATTATCAATGGATTGGTAATTAAGTGACCAGAGTGGTCATTAGTTTTCACTGTATTTGTTACCTGAAGAAAAATTATTAAGTTGAGTGTTTCGTTTTTAGAATTAAATATGGGTGATGTTGAGAAAGGCAAGAGGATTTTTATTCAGAAGTGTTCCCAATGTCATACCGTGGAAAAGGGAGGCAAGCACAAGACTGGACCTAATCTTCATGGTATCTTTGGGCGGAAGACAGGTCAGGCCTCTGGATTCACTTACACTGAAGCCAATAAGAACAAAGGTAAGAGGAGAACACTTGTTAAGTAAAACAGCACAAAACGCATGAAGGTAACCTGTGGCAAACTATCAGGAGTGTGAAATACTTAACGGATGCATTCTTTATCATTTAGGCATCATCTGGGGAGAGGATACACTGATGGAATATTTGGAGAATCCCAAGAAGTATATCCCTGGAACAAAAATGATCTTTGTCGGCATTAAGAAGAAGGGAGAAAGGGAAGACTTAATAGCTTATCTCAAAAAAGCTACTAATGAGTAATAATTGGCCACTGCCTTATTTATTACAAAACAAATGTCTCATGACTTTTTTATGTGTACCATACTTTAATAGATCTCATACACCAGAATTTACATCATGAATGACTGACAGAATATTTTGTTGGGCAGTCCTGATTTAAAACTAAGACTGGCTTGTGGTTAAATGAGTATGTTCAGTTTTTGGATTTTAATAGTAATTCTAATTTAGTAAATTCTATCACTGTTTACCCCTTCTAAAGATATGATTAGACTTCGTTAGTAATGTTAAATTTTTCGCAAAGATGGTGAGTGCTATCTTAAAACTTACTGGAGATTGGTTTTATATTTAGATTTATATAACTGGTTATGTGAATATATTTAAATATGGGGGAAATTCCTTCACCGTCTCAGAACCAAGCAAGATTCACCTGTGTTTTGTGTTCATTTGCCTCTTAAAGGCAAGGGTTGAAGATAAATGGGTAGCAATGGCTATTATATATTTTTGGCCTTAACTATGCCAATCTAATTAGAATTTCCTGTATTTAAAATGGTTCATTTTACTTAATTGAAAGGCATTTTATGTGGTTTATGTGTAATATCAAAAATTATTTAACACTTCACACATTTTATAGATGATCTATAAGGTCACATGCTTTTAAAATAGTAGCCTATTAAACTTCACTCTCGGATTCTTTACAATATAAGTCAAACTAAGTTATAATTTAGGATTGTCTTTAAACAGCCATTCAGAAACAAAACTGTACAGCTGCTGTGTATTTGTGATTGGGAATGGTGCTTTTGCCAACTTAAAGGGATTAAAGTAGAGGAGATATACACAAATTTAAAAATGATGTGTGATCATAAGACTTAAGATAATTAAAAAGAAAACCACAGATCATGATTTTTTGACTGTGCTTGATTTCATGACTGATGCCAAAATTTTAATGATTATAAAGTGCAGGAGCCCTAAATATCAGTCCAGCAGTGTTAATCATGTTGCTGTACTGTTTACTTGGTCCTCTAGAACTGCCTGAACTAGAATAACACTTCACTAATTCACTCTTAGTTTCTTTGCCCAGATTGAGAACTGCACCATTTATGCCAGACATGGACAGACAAGTGCTTCTGGTTATAGTTTTGTAATGTGTAACAGTGTATGATTACATGCTGAATTGTTTCATGCATGCTCTGTGCCATACATATTTAGAGTAGTCCTTGGAAATTTTATGGAGATGGTAAGCACAAGGTAAGTCATAAACAATGAGAGAAATAAACATATGCCGGTGGAGGTGAGGGCCTTATCTTTGTGGGACAGTGAGAAGACTGGGAAGAGGGTCTCATCATTGGTCTCAAAGGTGATAGGGATGATTAGATAGACCTTTAGGACCTGAAAACAATTTGTAACATGTGGGTCTTATATTTATTTATAGAAGAAATGTGGAAAGTCTGCTGTAATTCAGCTTTGAAGTCCTAGTATGAGTTATGGTGGGGAATTTAAAAATGCATCCTGGAAATCCTTTAAAGGTTTCAGCTTTTGAAAGGCCTAGTAACAGAGGACTTGGTGACTGCATAGAGTTAGTGGTATTCAGGGACAATGTAGCAATTAGCTTACAAGGGGACAATTCTGGACTAATGTGAAGGCTATAGACAGTTGATTTTTTTTTTTTTTTCATCCTGGAAATGATATAGGACATAAACATATTAAGATACGAGCAGAAATTTGGCCTAATCTTTAGAATTGCTCAACCTTTCATCTTGCTTAGATGTGGGGTTTTTGTTTGGTTTTGTTTTTTGTTTGTTTGTTTTGAGACATGGTCACACCCTGTCACCCAGGCTGGAGTACAGTGGCTCCATCTCGACTGACTGCAACTTCCGCCTCCCAGGCTCAAGCAGTTCTCTCACTTTAGCTTCCCGAGTAGCTGGGACTATAGATGTGCACCACCATGCCCAGCTATTTTTTTGTAGAGATGGGGATTTGCCATGTGGCCCCAGGCTGGTCTAAAACTCCTGAGCTCAAGCAATCTGTCCACCCACCTCCGCCTCCCAAAGTGCTGGGATTACACGTGTAAGCCACCACGCCCTGTCTGGTTAGATTTCGGATTCAGAAATCTTATTATTTAACTCAGAAGTAAACAGCCCAATAGTAACATAGGTTTCATTTTTTTTTTTTTTTTTTTTTTTTATGAGAGCCTTCCTCTGTCGCCCAGGCTGGAGTGCAGTGGTGTGAACTTGGCTCACTGCAACCTCTGCTTCCTGGGTTCAAGTGTTTCTCCTGCCTCAGCTTCCTGAGTAGCTGAGTTTACAGGTACCCGCCACCACACCCAGCTAATTTGTATGTTTAGTAGAGAGGGGGTTTCACCGTGTTGGTCAGGCTGGTCTCAAACTCCTGACCTTGTGATCTGCCTACATTGGCCTCCCAAATTGCTGGGATTACAGGCGGAAGCCACTGCACCTGGCCTAGGTTTAATTTTTTTACGGATTTAAAATTTTTCTCATTTCTATACATCCTATATTAAGGTCTGTGTTAGCACACAAGAATAACTGCCGTGTTCTAGGCCAGTATACCCAAGTATTTCTGGTAGTTTATCATGTAAGTGATTCTGTAATTTTTTTTTTAAAAAGACATTTCTATCAGATATACGTACTCAGAAATAAAGAAATTGGGAAAAAGAGCTAGCACCATAACCCACAAGTGCTTTCATTTCTAGTGCTTCACTGTAGGTGGCTAGGTTGGTAGTATCAAAAATAAGGGCCAGGCCGGGCATGGTGGCTCACGCCTGTAATCCAAGCACTTTGGAGGCCAAGGCGGGCGGATCACCTGAGGTCGGGAGTTCAAGACCAGTCTGACCAACATGGTGAAACCCCGTCTTTTAAAAAAAAATAAAATAAGGGCCAGATGTTATTTAGAGGGTATTCAAAGTGCCACCTATACTCTGCTTTTTGTCTAAAACAGTGCTGCCTAATCGAACTTTCGGTGACGATGGAATCTTCTACCCTTTTGCTGTCCAACATGGTAGCCACTAAGGAGATGCGGCAATTAAGCCCTTGAAGTACGGCTAGTGTGACTAGAAAGTATTTTATTTTCAATTTACATAGGCAAAAATGGCTAGTGACTACTGTATTGACAACCTGGGTCTAGGACTAGAAACAGTAGTCTGTAACAACAGTACTCCCCTGTACTCTATTAATCTAGAATTGGCCAGGCGCAGTGGTCCACACCTTTAATCCAGCGTTTTGGGAGGCCAAGGCAGGCGGATCATTTGAGGTCAAGAGTTTGAGACCAGCCTGGTCAACATATTGAAACCCCATCTCTACAAATACTATAAAAATTAGCTGGGTGTGGTGGCAGGCACCTATAATCCCAGCTACTCAGAAGGCTGAGGCACGAAGATCACTTGAATCCGGCAGGTGGAGGCTGCAGTGAGCCAAGATTGTGTCATTGCACTCCAGCCTGGATGACAGTACAATTGTTTAAAAAAAGAAATCTGGAATTCTTACAAGCGTACTATATTGCCCTTCAGAACAGATTTCCAGTTCCTGTTGTGCTCACCTTTATAATATTACCATATGTTTTACCTGTTTGTAAGTTGGCAGTTTATTTTAGATAGGTAACATTCTGGTGTAGCTAGGGATCTACCTTTTGTCATCTTTTTCCTACACTTTTCTCTAATTTCATTATAGTTGTACATTATTTTTGCTTTAACCACTGAAGATTGCTGTAAATGATAAAGGGTGTGATAGAATCTACATGGCTGTCCAGAAGAAGGCCTTACCAAGGACAGTTGACTGGCTAATCTCAGGCTGTTTCATATCAGTTAAACTTGGGCAAGAGTAAACTACATAGCTGGGCATTGTGATGCACACCTGTAGTCCCAGCTACTCCAGAGAAGGATTGCTTGTGTCCAGAAGTTCGAGGCTCCAATGTAGCTGTGATTGTACTGCTAACACTCCAGCCTGGGCAACAGAGTAAATGAAACTCTGCTTGTTAAAACGTGGTCTAGGTGTGGCTCACGCCTGTAATCCCAACACTTGGGGAGGTTGAGGTGGGCAGATCACCTGAGGTGAGGAGTTTGAGACCAGCCTGGCCAACATGGTGAAACCCCTGTCTCTACTAAAAATGCAAAAATGAGCTGGGCGTGGTGCTGGGTACCTGCAATCCCAGCTATTTGGGAGGCTGAGGCAGAATTGGCTTGAATCCAGGGTACGCAGAGGTTGCAATGAGCCGAGACGGCCGTTGTACTCCAGCCTGGGCAACAAGAGGGAAACTCCATCTCAAAAAAGTTTAAAAGTAGACTGCAATCAGTTTTCTTACAATGGAAGATAGTCATTCATGAGCTCTTTTGGCAATCCTTGATCTTACCAGAATATTCTGAAAACCAAGTAAGATGTTGCCAAGTGTAGGATGAGAGCTATGTAGTTGAAGGCTTATGCTTGACCTAGTATACAAATACACCTCTGATGATCAGAAACTTTGTCTCCCACATTCTCTTCTAGGCAGTGCTGGGGTACATACTGAGCTGCTGCTTTGGCTGTATTTTCTGTGCCTCCGACTGACCATCATTCTGGTGTTGACACCCTTAAGAGTTTAGTACAAAATACTGGGTTTCCGTTTTTAATAGGCTCCAGCTTATCTTGGAGTTTGGGGTATTTGAAAACTGGTCATACCCTTAGGCTATCATTTCCCTCAGAAAGCTAAGTAAACTTACTGTGTTCATTTCTCAGAGTAAATGTGCAGGTTGTGTGTGTGTCTATTTAAACATGCTAAATTTAGCATTTTAAATTTAATCATATTTGTCTATAGCTTGAACAGTGTAGTTTGAAAAGGGACCACTGGACTAGTGTAATGCAGAAGATGCTGGGTCTAGGATTAGGAGAAAATTGTTTTGTGTGTTAATAAACAACATCCTGTGGACCCAATATGACCAGATTTCCTATTTTTGCAAAGAAAACTGCATTGGATCACCGTCACATTCATTAACGTATTGTCTAGGGCTGCTTTGGGGCCACAACATTATAGGTTAGTGGTTGTGACAAAGCCTAAAATATTTAGTGTGATACTTGACAGTTTCTCAGTCCCTTGTTTAGAGCTTTGCTTTGCCAATCTGTGATTAACAACCTTATATTTGCCATTTGGAGAATGGGAATAATAGCTCAAAGGATTCATTGAATGATGTGTGAAAGCCCATAACTGGCAAGCACAGAAAAATTTTTTCATATCCATGTCAAATTCCTTGAAAGTCATATAGTGAATAATTACCACTTCCAAGGTTAGCAATAACCTTTTGTCAGTATTTCCTGTTCTCAATCTCTGTGACATCTGACACACTTGACTGCTCTTATTTTCTCACTTCCCTTGGTTTAAGTTAGTTTCACATTCAAATAGAATGAAACAGACATCGTAAAAATCCTTACGTATGTATAGCTGTAATCTGTTGATAACCCATGTACTTCAGCATGACATTTTGCCCAAATTCTAGTTGAACTTGAATTGCTTTGTAGCTATAAGGTGCATTCACATCTCAGTTCATCCTCACCACTTCATAAGGTATTGGGGACAGGTGTTGGCTATTTTATAGAAAAGTTAGGCTCAGGCCGTTACTGCTAAAGGTCACACAGACACACTATCTTAGGAGTACCACATGTACTGTCACCTGCCTTTTCTTGGTGCCTTCTAAAACTCTGCATAAACTGGGTCATCTCTTAGCCTCTTTACAGAACATACACAGTTAATAGGAACTGGCTTTCTCCAGGCCCATGCACTTCTCAGCTCTCAGAGTATGCTCCTTGCACAAGGTACACAAAAGAGGTCATGTAGTCTTGGCATCTTCCAGATCATCACTCTCCTCTCACAGGCAGAACTACTTGTGTGAGATTTCTGACATCTGCATGGATCTTTGGACC